AATTTATATTTGACACTTCTTAAAGTCAGCACTGAGGAAACACAACCATAAGCAGATAAGAAGCAACTTCTAACAAGGATTATTGTCAATGTCTGTATATTACTCTTTTTGGAAAACATTAAATCAAAGCCTCCTTGAGAATCTAAAACTCTTTTTTCCCTTTTCTTTTGTTTTCTTTTCTTTGTATCATTCTTAGTTTAATAAATCCATCATTTTCTTTCCCACTCACAAAATAAATGAAGTCTTTGTTTGCTGCTTAATAAAAAATAACCCTGTTAGAAAGAGCAATTGTCTAATAAGCTTGCCTAATATTTTTTCAACTATGTCAAAATATGGAAGCTCTTTTGTGCCAAAGGAGGAAAAAGGGATGCAGATGATTTTTTTTAACAATATTTAGGCCATAATGTTTTATTCTTTAATCTTTCCAGCTATTAACTCATATTGTTTATTTAGTGAGGTCAGATTTTAAGTTTTAGCCTCATGCTTTTGACCCTATCATTCTTACAGGTTATTTTAAACTGCTTTTGACATGTTAAGTAAAAAAATATCGAAACTTAATAATGCTGTTTATATTTTCCATGTCTTTTCTTATGTTTGGGTGTTGGGCTTCCATCATGTCAGTCATTGTGTTTTCACATTATTTATTTAAATCCATGTTGCATCCATGCAAATACAGGGTACAAACTAAAACTGCAAGCGGCTTCTTATAAAACGTGTCAGGAAGTGGACTGAAGCGATAGAGGACTCTTGTTCACACTTGTTTTCTTTTGTTCACTTGTGGTTTCCATTCAGGCTGAGAAAACAAGTAGATCACTTTTATTGCATTTCCACTATGGAGACTTTCTAAAATATAACATTTAAGGATAGTTATACTTTTTGCAAATAGGCTGGAATTAATTAAATCAATATAAAAGTGGGTTGCAGAATACCAGCTGATTGGATTTCAGCTATCTATATACACTCATTCTTTAATCACATTACTAAAATAGTGAGGGTTGTTATGTTGTCTGTTTTCTTTTTGTTTTGTTTTGTTTGGGGTTGTTGTTTGTTTGTTTGTTTGTTTGTTTGTTTGTTTGTTTGTTTTGTATTTCAGGAAATTGTGCATGGAATTTAACCCTAACTTGAGTATTTTGTTCTGGTTTGCTTGGTTTTCTGAAGGCAAACGACTAAATAAAAGGACACTGTCTTGGGACAAGGGTGGGAAATAAAGTGTTATTGACGTGTCTGTGCACCAATAGGACGCCGGGGATGATTCCCACGCTGGCACAATTGGCTTAGAATAAAGACCACTGCGTCCGAGAAGTTGCAGCGATGATTGGGTGTAGGATTGTGCATTGAAAATAACCAGGCGCTGCATGTTTGATAGCAGCCAGCTGAGACAGAGGGGCGTGCGATGCAGCAGGATGGTGGTTTCCTGCAGTGTTTGTGTGCCGGATTAGCCGCTACTTAGCTCCGTGTGTGTGTGTTGTAGAAGCAGGGCGCACCGAGCCTCCAGCCAGCCGCGCCAGGTGGATGCGCCTGCAGTGATCCAGGTAGTCCCTATGGATCGCGTCCATGGATGTCTTCAAACCCGCTTTGGACAGTAGTAGTCCTAAGGCGTGCGTTTCTTCAACGGAAGAAGCAGAGGAAGATGTCTTTCGCTGGCCCACACCGGCAAATGGCATCAGCGCCGCGCCGGATACGGGACCAGCCGCGCCGGGCTTCTGGACGGCCGTGTTCGACTATGAAGCGACTGCGGACGACGAGCTCAGCCTTCGGAAGGGGGATCTGGTGGAAGTCCTGTCCAAGGACTCCCTGGTGTCAGGAGATGAGGGATGGTGGACCGGTATGATAGCAGACCGGGTAGGCATCTTCCCGTCTAATTATGTCAGCAAAGGCACCGGCATTCCGGAGGAAATACGGGCCACTTCAGAACAGCAGTACCCCGTGCCTCCTTTGCACCGTGAGTATCCCACTGTGCTTCATACTTCTGCTAATGAAATCAATGTGCTATCACTCAAAAGGAGCACAAGGCTGCAGTCTTTTCTCCCATCTTTTGTCAGAGGGGGAAAACCACGTAGAGTGCTGTGTCATGGTAGGCGCAGTGCATTCTGTTGGCCTAGAAACAGGCTGCCCCAAGCATCCTTACAGCTTCAGGACCACTATTCATCACACGGCCTTTCAAACAAACAGTGATGCACCCCACCTCAGTTCTCAAATTACAACGCACAAAGTGTGCAGCATACAAGGCAGGAAGCCTGTCACAGAACTGGAATCCTGTAGATATTCTTAGATGAAATTTGAACGATGTTATGAGCTTCAGAAAGGATTTTTTTTAAGTTTCCAGGTGCAAGAGAGAAAGAAATGTAAAATTCTTCTCTTAGGGAAAAATAAAAGTAACTTCTGGAGGGAAATGTAGGGCCAAGGCCTCAGAAAGATGCACTGAGCATAATTACAAGTAGCTATGTGTACTAAACTGTGAAGCCCTAAATGAAAATACTCTTCCTTCTTATTGGCCTTTAAGCAATAAAGATGCTCCAAACACAGGTACAAAGCCACTGTTTTTTGACTGACAACTACAAATCTGCATGTGAGCATATGCAGGTGTTTTAAGGTAATAAAACACAAACTATCACATGCTATTTGGGCAGACCAAACCACCTCAGCTGTCTTTGTTAGCAGCTGTCTCAGTCTTGTTGGCTTTTATGTCTTCATACTGAGGCAGCTGGCCTACTTTCACACACCTGAAATATTCATCAAGGTCAGTCTGCATACTGTTAGGAGTCTACAACATAAGCACATACAGCCTCAAACACTGAGTCTGTTCACATCAGCACATAAATCTTCTTTTCTATATAACCTGCATTTATTCCTTCTCCAGACATTCTAGCCAGATTTTAGGACAGATGCTTATCCTTGTGTAACAGCAAGAGGGATAGTTTCTGAATTTGGGGCAGCAGGGTGGCTTAGAGCTCTAAGAAGGCCTCCTTCAACTCAATGACCTGTTTTTATGATCCTTGCTAGCAAGCATGTACCTTGTTGAAAAGCAAAATGGGGAAATCCTAAAGGCTGCAGACAGGTTGACCCTGACTTCTAATGTCACTGGATGGCTGTAAGTACAAATACACTTAGCTGATGTTTATGTTTGTCTCATATGTGTCTTCTTTGTTTCTCAGTTCTTGAGATTGATTTCTCAGAGCTCACCTTGGAAGAAATTATCGGGGTTGGTGGTTTTGGAAAAGTCTACCGTGCAATGTGGCGGGGTGCAGAGGTGGCGGTGAAGGCAGCACGACGGGACCCCGATGAAGATTTGGAGCAGACAATGGAGAGCGTTCGCCAGGAGGCCAAGCTCTTTGCCATGCTCAACCATCCCAACATTATGGGTTTGCTGGGAGTGTGTCTGCAGGAGCCTAACCTGTGCCTGATAATGGAGTATGCCCGAGGAGGCCCTCTCAACCGGGCTCTAGCTGGGAAACGCATCCCTCCATGTACTCTGGTTGACTGGGCTGTGCAGATTGCCCGAGGCATGCACTACCTCCACTGCCAGGCTATCGTCCCCATTATTCACCGGGATCTCAAGTCCAGCAACAGTAAGAGTCACCTCACTTTGCTTTTTATTACCAAGTTTAAGAACCAAAGCTGAGAAATGGTGAAAAAGGCCAATTTTCATATTGTTTGTCTGATCTGAAAAACAGGTTTCCTGAAGAGAAAATGTTAAAAAAAAAAGAGTATCTTGCTTTGTTCTTAGAGACATGGCTTACTATTTTATTTTGAAATATATTCAATTAATTGAACAACTGTCTGTGCCTTTGATGTCTTTCATGCATAAGTTATAGCATTCAAAGCAATAAAGGTCTTTGATCCATCATATGTCTTGCCATATGTGTGGGAAAAATGTGAAATATGCTGAAATGGACTTTTATTTAAGTCGACAACATTGGTTTTCAGTATTTAGATACAATAAGGAATGTAATTGCCAAACAAAATACAGGCCAAGAAGGTTATTATCTACACCCAGCAATGCCACGATTGCAAAGACTGACATGACTTTGTCGCTGATACTAATCACTGGTGCTTAACACCTCCAAACAGCCCTCACCCAAAGATATATCATATTACAGTCTTTCTGGGACAATAATAGCTCTGCTGATGCACTATTCAAGTACCACATGAAATGAATTTTGAAAGTAATGCTCATTCTGTGACCTGCACTGCTTGTATTCACTTCAGGAATGAGAGTAGAGAGGAAAAGGAGTTTTCGTGTGTGTTTATGGAGCAGTTGTAATCTTGCATTTTACTCAACTGGATCCCCTAAATCCCAAGCCTATTAGTGAGGATTTGCCCAATGCTCTGTCCCAGACTGCCTATTGGAGGCTCTGACAATACATAGCCCAAGCCTCTTCCCTGCCATTGGCTTGTTCTGCAGTGATCAGCTCAGACGCCGCACTTCAATAGGGTGCTTTAAAGCGTTAAAGTCAGTCTAACTGGTTACCATCCTGGGAAATTAGGGGAAAACCCATGTCCTCATCACGGTACAGGAGCACTGCAGGACACAGCAGTTGTCATTTAGCTATTTCAGAGTTATGCCAGTGATTGTTTTTCCCCCCTCCTTTGTTTCTTGTGACTCAAAATTTAGTTTACCTAGCAAAGACATACATAACATGAAAGAATATCTATCTGTTTTTCTTTAGAGACTCCAAAATCCTTCCAAA